TTTTGCCTATCAAAAAACCGGTTCCGGTTAGAAGAGCAGACCTGCAAATGCGGATGGGGTTTGTATACATAAAACACCAACATGAAGCTTTAATATCTCTATATGTTTTTGTTATGTATATAGTATAAATGAAATGAAAATCCTCAAGAATCCAACTCGAGAATCCAACTCGAGAATCCAACTCGAAAATCCAACTCGAAAATCCAACTCGAAAATCCTAACTCTGTTGTTAGTATATCTCATTATTCATCTCCAGTTAAAATATTGTAATTCTTTTGATTTGAAAGGTATAGAACTGAACTTTACACACACTAATTTTGACAAATTGATGAACAACATATMGCAAGATCATGGCAATCAGTTGTATATTTATTTRTATACGGCTGTTTATTCTATGTAGGTCATATTTTGGGCTCATTTTTGAGCCGCGTTCATATCTTTTTTTCTGTCCGAGATTTTCCAACCAAATTCATGGCCCTTGTGTAATTTTATGAGATATACAAATTCTGAAAATTTCAAGATGATTCGACTGTTAGTTTTAGAGTAAATAGTCGAAAACTGGAATTATCACTGTTTGAAAAATGCGCTGTATATTTAAACCWGCCTTTAAATTACTAAATACTGAAAACTGTCAAAAMCTGCAATMATTACTGCATGWTTTATCAAAATTATAGCACGTTTTACTAAATACTTTTGCGAAGCGAGCGAGCTAAAAAAGTACAAAATTTGCGTTTCATTAGTTGTGATCCACCTTAAGTTGATCATATTGAGACATGTAGGGCATAACCCTGACAAGTCGTCGCTAGAAAGTAGATTGGACCAATAGTTACTTGGGTCCGGATCCTCGATGAGGGTGCTGACGGTTGTACTTTCTGGCTTGTGAAAGGAGAGAATACGTCCCGCTGTAGATGTATATTCTGCCTGGCTGTCATTTTGAGAGGCTGTATTTAGAATAGCCTTCAAATGCTCACTTGTGATTGATATTGATCTGGCTATTTTACGGCACTCTTCAGCATTGTCATTGGCTTCAGCACTGACGGCGGTGGCACACTCGAAAGGCGTATTTATCTGCTGGTTGGCTGTACGCTTACATCACCCTTCAAAGACTTTTGAGACAATAGCATCYAGGTCGCCTCCCTCCTCAACGACCATGACTTCAAGAGTTGCCCTTTGTATGTCCGGCAGAACCACGCTTAGCGCTTCCACTTGTTCAGACCACTCCGGACACTGTTGTGGTACTTGTATATCTGGCATCACTTTCGCGATAGCTCTTTCAGTACCAGGTTGAACTGGAGAAAGTTGATGTTGGTCTATAGCACCACGAAGAACATTGCCGTGGCAATGTCCCTGACATGCTCGTTTACTTTGCTGTAAAGTTCCCGGTGTCGCTTAAGCTGTTTTTGCTGTTTTTCTATAAGCAAATATAATAATAATAATCAATCATAATCATAATAATGATAATAATTACGATTAGTAAGTAAGTAATGATGTAGACGCTTTTCTACATTTAAATCGGGTTGCTTTTAGTTAAATTACGCGTAAACAAAGCATGGGCTGTTTCGTTAGAATTTCCGTGTACTGAATTCGCAAGAAATAATGTGAAAAGACAAACAGCGCTACATAAAATATTCATTCAGTCAAGATGACCAGACWTTGCTTCTAGGTTTACCGCGGGAGATGAACACAAACGCTTGTCATAAACTTACGCATTATTTGTTCGCGCCCCAAACAATAATTTGCCACAGCTCTAAGATTTTAGGAATTACCTTGTTTTTTTTCTGCAGCGCTGAGCTGCCTTTTAGCCTTCTGACTACTATCCTTGTTTGCAACATCAATTGTTGTTTGTAAAGAAGGAAAAGGTACAGTTGGTGCCTTCGGAGTACGTGTTTCCTGATTTTGGACCTGAGTGTGTATCGCACACTTATTACATGAACAAACTTTAAATGGACATACGAGCTTATGGCCCCGAAGAGGACTGACACACGTACGTACTGCTACTCTTTGCTCCATTTTCCTACTAAAGATTTCGAATTTGGTGCGTGCTCGAGCTCGATGCATTCGCACGGGCAAAACACTCCCACCCTTTGTTCTAATGCGTTCTAGTGAATCCGAGCAGCAAAAAAATCTGAATGCATGTAGTATAAGAAAGCCTCGAGAATGGCGTCTTGGAGAATTAATGCTGTAAATGGCGTAYACAATTGCGTACGTCGACTGGTGTCTCTTTTCCAAAATAAGGCAACATTGCTACCTCAAACTGATGAAAATGCAAGGCCTAAAGCATTATACCTATGGTTTAAACTTTCTTCAAATATCGCGTTGTTACGGATGAATCTAAACTTTTTTCATACTCAGGGAGTGGAATGGTAGTATAGCTATCTTGAACTAGCTTTGATTTCTTTGAATACGTCGAATTTATGCTAAAATCCATGAAAAACTGACTAAACTATCGAATGTAGCGTAACCTTGCATACATTTACATGTGATTTTGAAATATGATATGTCCGCCAATAAGGCGGCCAAYCACCAAGTGATCACGCGGGTGAAATCGATCTATAGAAGAGCTTGGAGAATTACGTGCTAAGTAGAATATTAGAATATTCATCAGATGCCCAGGTAAAATGTATGTTCTTATRTATCCCAGCCAGATTAGTGTATAGAATGATCCCCTAAAAGAAGGCTTGAAAATCGTTGTGTAACCCAAGCGAACCTGTGTAACCCAAGCGGTTTAGCGGCAAGAAACACGAGTATATCCTCGCTACCAATAACTAGGTTTAATTTCTCTTGCTGTGCATGACTGTTCAGAATCAGATAGATCTAATCAGTATTATTAAATGGTGCTCGGGAAAACTGCTGCGCAGAAATCAGGGATCAAAGACATTTGTATTCGGGATATGCATATTTCAAACTACACGCATATGAATAAAGACTTTGAAACGATTTTACTTGCGTATTGTGGTTGCTTGCATTTATAAATTTAGATGTGTCTTGTCTTGATTTTGCAGCAGCTCAAAGAAATAAAGACTTTGAAACGATTTTTACTTGCGTATTGTGGTTACATTTATAGATTTCTTTTGCCTATTGTGATTATTCTAGCTTTAATTCTGTGCTGTGTTCTGATTTTATACTACAGCGCAAAGGAATAAAAAACGATCTTCATTGTGTATTGTAGTAATTACGCTCGGCTAGCCTACGTAGCAGCGGCATTAGTCGCTACGCAAACTACGCTCGGCTGATTGCACGTGCACTATAAATTTAGTCTATTCACGCTTCAACTATTTTTCACTAATTTCCACTAAATTTAACTATTTAGTTTTAGTGTTTCACGGATATATTGTTTGCACTCTATTTGTGATTGTCTTGATGTCCTGGCTGAGTGAGTTAAAGTCATTTACTGCATGATATTGAGTTCGTTGCTTTCCCCAGTTCCTTTTCACTCTAGGGAGTTTGAGATTGCATTTGTTTCTAATGTTGTAATTATGTTGATCTTCTGTGTGTAAGTTCTGTATGGTGAAGTTTGAAACGCTGTGTACTTAGTTTTCAAAGATACTTTTGTCGCGTYGCCCAAAGCTCCCAGGGGACGCTAAGCGTCAACCATGAAATGATGAGTATGAATATAGGTCCGATGATTCTCTATTAATCAGTTTGGCTCTACTCTCTTACTCTCGTACAATCAAGATGAAAACACATAAACTATTTTAACTAAATGAACTATAACTGAGGCTAAAACGATATGGAAAAGGATTGAAGAAAATCACTTACATTTGATCTTGTTTATAAACCTTGTAACTCTTCAAAAAAAAGACTGGAATTTACTGTAATGTACGGTTGAAATGACTCCACTAATAACTCCGAGTAACTAAGATAAAGGAAYGACAAAGTATCTTATAGCTTGTGGTTACAATGCGATATGATTGGTCTGGTCTATTTATTGMGTAAATAATAGGAATCAATGCTCCATTCATGACGGATAGTAGAATCTATTATGATATGTAATCAAAGATAAACGTGGCTTAAAGGCTAAAAAATACATACAAAGTTTATACTAAAACACTCAAACATGACACTCTGATACTTGCTAAATTATGATTACAATGTTCTCAATTGAAATGTTCATAATCTCAATCTTTTTAAACTTGTTCTTCAACTGGTAGCAGTAGCACCAGTTCTTTGATAGGGCGGTACATCGTCTTCTTCTTTCCTGCTCTTACAGTGGTGACGTTGGCTTTCCTCACCAGTCCATCTTCACTCTGTACCGCTTCAGTTACCCGTCCAATTGGCCAGTTGTTGCGGTGCTTGTCTTCTTCTYTAAGGAGGACAACGTCACCGGTAGCCAGGTTTCTCTTGGGGTACTTCCATTTATTGCGTACTTGMAGGCTTTGTAGATACTCTTTCCTTTAGCGTACCCAGAACTGGTTTGCAAGGTACTGCACTCGTCTCCAGTGTCGTCTAGCATAGAGGTCAGGTGGTACGAACTCTCTTGGGGGGCCAAGTTGAGGGTCATCGACGTCAGTTGGTATACCTGCGATAGGTCTAGCGTTAACAATGGCTACGACGTCCGACATCAAGGTAGTTAGTAACTCGTGTGTCAGCTTTTGATGTCCCAGCTCTGCGAACATGTTGTCTAGTACTCTTCGGACGGTGCCTATCTGACGCTCCCAGACACCGCCGAAGTGTGATGCATGTGGTGGGTTGAACCGCCGAAGTGTGATGCATGTGGTGGGTTGAATTTCCACTCGCACCCTTGTTGCTTTACAAAATCTTCTATCTTCTCTCCGTCGAACTTCCACCAATGAAGTTGGTCCCACGATCACACCTTAACAGGGTAGCTGGACCACGTATTGCGAAGAATCTTCTTAGGGCACATATGAAGGCGCTAGCGTCAATTGACTCCAGTACTTCAATATGGATAGCTCTGCTGCTGAGGCATGTGAACAGGAGACCCCAGCGTTTTGAATTTGCTGCTCCGCCTCTTGTTCTCTTGTGATAACGCTCCACTGACCGAATACGTCAAGTCCCACGTTCGTAAAGGGGGGTGCCTCCTCCATTCTGTCGGTTGGTAGGTCGGCCATTCGCTGGTCCATTTGCGCCCCTCTTGCCTTTCTGCAAATCACGCATTGGTGGAGTTCTTTAGACACGAGACGATGTCCGCTAATGATCCAATATCCTCCTTGGTGTATGGCGGCATGAGTTATCTGTTGGCCTTGGTGGTGTACACTCCGGTGGAAATGACGTATGATTAGAGTTGACAGATGCTGACCCTTTGGTACTATGATTGGGTGCTTTTCCTCTGTGCTTAAGGAGGACCTTCTGAGAYRGCCTCCAACACGCAGTACTCCCTTGTTATCCGTAAATGGATCTAGATCGTCAATGTCGCGCTTATGGTCAGCGGTTTGCAGCCCAACATCCCTTCGGGTCTCTCTTACTATGACATTAGTAGCTGCTTGTATCTCTTGTAGGCTTGATCGTAAGGGTTCTTTCGTCCTGGCTTGAGATGTTGATGATTCACAGTGACAAGCCTTGAACATCCTGATCCATGCGAGTTTGAAGGTTGAGAACCTTTTAAACCGTTCTGTGCCCAGGGAAGCACTGGGTCGTTT